CAGATATTTTTATAGAGGGAGAGAGAGAGAGGGGGGGCTTTAAAAAGTTACTAAAAAGTGACTTTTCTCGTAGCTTTATACAAATAGACCGCTCAAGTGAACAAAACACTGCTCGAGTATTAGATACAGTACACCGCTTGAGTGAGCAAACCTAGGCTCAGGCTAAGAATCCAAACATTCAGAAGATTATCCCTGCAGAACATATCGATCAAGTGAGCAAAACACCGTTTGAGCACAAAATACAAACTCTCAGTAATTCATACTGCAAATTCAGAATCTGTGAGAAACAAAAGACTTCTCGAGCGACTAAAGCACCGCTCGAGCGAACCCAAGTTCAAACAACCAAAACCTCCCTAGAAATTCTACGCCCAACATGTTCAAAACATAACCTAACAGATCCCAAACTCAACTCAAATGGTAACATTGGACCAGAGTAGATATTAATCACACCAACGGGTGTAAAATCCATAGAAAAGAGTATAAAGGGATTGGGTCTTAACCTAGATTGCTATAACCTCCCCGCTTAGGAAATTTTGTCCCCGAAATTAGATTACATCAATCACAACCAGCAATATAACCTTAATAACCTTAAAAATGCAAATCCAACAGTATAGAAAGTCATAACAACTCGACTTAACATAACGTCAATATTAATCTTACAGAGCCTTTACGACTTCAAATATTACAACAAACACAAAGGAAATACAAAAGACTCAAACATCAATAAACAAGTACAAATACTTATCACAAACTTCAGTCTCATGCTCCCAAGTAGCTTCCTTAACCCTGTGGTATTGCCACAATACCTTAACCAAAGGAATAATCTTGCCTCGGAAGATGTGATCTCGAGTATCCAACACATGAACCAGCCTCTTCTCATGCGAGGCATCCTTGTCTACTTCTAAATCAGTCCAATCTAACATATGAGAAGGATCAGGCTCATACTTTCGAAGCATACAGATATGAAACACATTGTGAACCCCAAAAAGTTGGAGCGGCAAGGCCAAATGATAAGTGTGACAACCTTGCTATGTATCATGCTTTTAAATTCCTTAATTGTGTGTGTTTATGTGCTAAATGTGTATTTGGGTGATAATTACGTCATCAATATGATTTTGACTTTATATCTATTGATCGTAGGAAAATATGTTAAGAATTCCACTTTGATCAGAAAATTGAATGCTTTAATGGCTTTAGAAACCGAAATTGGTTAATTTATTATGATCAATATAATTTTTAGAGCCTAATGAGTAGTTTGATTAAAATTTGATTCAGTTAAAAAATATTAAGTTTTATTTAATTAAACTTAAACCTAATTATTCCCTTAATCCTTGGTTAGTGTTAATTAAGCCAATTAATATATATATATATATATATGTGTGTGTGTGTGTGTGTGTGTGTGTGTGTTATAATTAAGGAGTTGAGTTCAACACTTCATTTTGGATGAAATTTTACAAGTTAGAGAGAGAGTGAAAGCAACTTAGAGAGAAAAGGAACATGTGAACTTGGAATTTGACAAGGGAATTGGAGAATTGGGTAGAACAACTCAAGTTTTTGCTAAAGTTAGTGTTTTTGAAGATTATAGGTAAGTGTTTGTACCATAATAAATAATCAAATATGTGAATTCAAAGAGATTATGTGTTTAGATGTAAGAATTGAGCTAGAATTGTTAGAATCAAAGTCAAATTACACATGCATGTATAGCTTTGTTGAGTTTCACCAATTTTTGAGCATGATTAGCTCATCCATGTTGAGTTTTGAAGCTATCTTCTACATGCATTCATGAATTATGAAATTTTAGAGTTTAATTCCATGATTTACAAGATTTTGAGAATAAATTGCATGTTTTGTAAACTTTGGAAAAGAATTGAAGTTTAATCATACATGAATGATCATTTGAGTCGAATTCATGAGTTTGGCCTTGAGGCTTGAGAATTGGTCTTGAATTCATGTTTTTGAAGGAGTTTTATCTCTTTGAGAAGTGGTTTACAAACCATTCAAGAGTTTTTGTTTGAATTGCAAGCTTTTAAACTCTACTTTGTTCTGGAAATTCCAAAATTCTGTCGCACCACTCGAGCGAACAATCTGTCGCTCGAACGCGCATTGCATGCATCTAGTATTTTTTCAGGCATTTGTAATTGGCTCAAGCGACCAAGTGATCGCTCAAGTGACCAGATTTTATTTTTGCCCCTTGGCTCGAGTGAACATCGAGCCTAGATTCAGACCATCCAGTACTTTTGCAGACCAAGTGGTCCGCTAGAGTGACCAATGTTGTGCTTAAGCAAAGTGCTCTATTTCAGCAAATTTTGAAAAGGCAAATTTTGATCAAATGTGCATTGTCATTCCTTTCTGAGCATTCTTAAGCATAAATTGAACACCCTAAATGAATTAAAGAGATAGAATGAAGCCCAAGAGAATTGAATGAGTTAAAGAACAATCTGGTTAAGCAATGTAAGTCAACGTGTGTATATTGATGTATTGTGTAGGATCTTTTGCAAGGACAAGTCAACAACTGAATCACTGTGAGTAATATTTTAGTAAAGATATTTTCTCAATAACTCTATTTTCTGTCTATCCTAATGTGGTAAACTTTATGAAATTGTGAATTTGCAAAAGTGAATGAGTTTCTATCTGTCTGATCATTGTGATATCTGTAAATGTCATCGATGTGTTACAAATGTATATGATGGACCCAAGGTCGTTCTGTGTACTTGAATTTGACCCAAAGTTGTTTTGTGTAATAGAAATGGACCCAAGGTGGTTCTGAATACCTGATAAGTCTGACTATCTATTATGAGCCGGCCAAATGGTCATTATATAGCTGTAAATGATTAGACCCGAAGTCATTATATTATGATATGATCAATTCCATTCTGCATAACTGATGAACCTAAGGTTGTTCTGTTATTTGTTAGACCCAAGATCGTTCTATTATGTGATGCTTATGACATAGAAATGCTTATGTCATTAATTAGAACTTATTCACATAAACCCTTTACTTTGAATTTATTCACTGGGCGTTAGCTCACTCTATATCTATATGTATGTAGGTGAGTAGCAGGATTTCCATCCCCAGCCTTAGTGACCTGTAAAGGAACCTAAGTTTTGTGAAGTCGGTTATGAGCACCTCAGGAGCATGGCTTTTGTTTCTTTGATCTTTTGATTTTCTATTTCTTTCTCTTGTTGGTCATATTCAACCGTTTCTGTATATAAGTTCTAGTTTGTATGACAATGATGCTTGAAAGATCTTGGATATATGGAATATTATGTTGCTTGCATGAGTGTGAGTTATTAATATATGAAAATTCTCTGTTTATGCCATTTATACATAGCTCATTGGACACAATTTTTATTAATATGCTTTTGCTTCTGGCCCCTTATTATTAAATATGTTTGTATTCTGTCTGAGGTCGTAGGTTATCTCATGATTAATGGCTAGTTATGATCCAAACCTCTAGGGCGAGTTCAGGTCATAACAATAAGCTACATTCCCAATTCGTTCTAGGATCTCAAAAGCCCCAATAAACCTTGGAGATAACTTTCCACTCTTCCTCAACCTTATAAAACCCCATCTTGGCAAAATTTTGAGGAATACATGATCCCCTACCTCAAAAGATAAGGGTCTCATCCTCATGTCGACATTGCTCTTTTGGCGACTCTTAGCTGAAACCAACCCCTTACGGATGAGTGAAGCCTTTTTCGTCGTCTCTTGGACCAACTTTGGACCCAACATAGGTGCATCACCCACCTCGGCCCAACAAACTGGTGATCTATAGGGTCAGGCATACAATGTCTCAAAAGGTGCCATTCTGATACTCGCCTGATAGCTATTATTATAGGAAAACTTTATCAAAGTTCAATGCCTCTCCCAAGACCCCTTAAAGTCGAGAACGTAAACCTGAAGCATGTTCTCTAGAATCTGAATAGTGCGCTTAGATTGCCTATTAGTATAAGGATGATAGGCGGTGCTAAAAGTCAACTTAGTGCCCAAGGCACTCTGTAGGCTCTGCCATAACCAAGCCATGAAACGCAAATCCCCATCCAAGACGATACTGACCGGAACCTCGTGAAGTATAACTAGGTCCCTAACATACAATTCGACAAAATAATCTACCGAGTCACTCATGCATATAGGAAGAAAATGTGCAGACTTACTTAGCCGATCAACAACTACCCACACGACATCATTATCATGTTGAGTCCTCGGAAGACCCACAACGAAATCTATTGTGGCATGCTTCCACTTTCACTTGGCTATAGGTAAAGGTTGTAACAAACTCGTTAGCCGTTGGTGTTCAACCTTCACTTGCTAGCAAGTAAGGCACCTCGAAACAAATAGGGGCATATCTCTCTGTATTCTCCTCCACCAAAATTGACGACAAAGGTCATGATTCATCTTCGTGCCTTCCAGATGCACTGCAAGGCGTGAATGGTGGAACTCTCAGATTACCTCCTTTCCAGAAGACTCTGACACAAACAAGCGGTTTAATATCTTACACTTAAATCAAAATGAACATTCAGATCCTTTGCTACTTTCCCACTGTAGATCTTCCCTCATATAATCTCCAGCTCATGGTCACGTTGTTGTGCCTTAATAACCTGACTAATCAAAGTAGGTTGTGCAACAACAATAAATAAGGTAGCCAACTCAACAGACTCACCAAGATGCAAGTCAAACTCACCAGGAACACTCAACATCTCCCATTCCCAGATGAAAATACACGCTACACTACTCAGGACTTCTTACTCAAAGTATCGATCACTAGATTGGCCTTTCTCAGATAATAATGCAACTCAAAGTCATAATCCTCAATGAACTCCATCCACCTCATCTGTCTCAAATTCAAGTCTTTCTGTGACAACAGATATATTAGACTCTTATGATAAAAAAACACCTAAAATCTCTCTAGGTACAGATAATGTTTCTAGATTTTTAAGGCAAAGATTACTGCCGCTAGTTCTAGGTTATGTGTAGAATAGTTTTTCTCATGAGTTTTCAATTATCGAGAGCCATATGCCACCGCCTTTCTTTCTTGCATCAACACATAACCCAACCCTTCTTGAGATGTATCATAGTGCACCGAATAACCCAAACCCCTTTTGGAAGTAATCAAAACTGGAGCAGTGATGAGTTTAGTCTTAAGTTCTTGGAACAACTTTTCACAGGCCTCACTCCACACAAGCTTAATTCCCTTTCTCATCAACCTAGTCAAAGGTGAAGCTAGCCTAGAGAAATCCTTCACAAAGCATTGGTAATTCTTGGCTAAGCCCAAGAAACTCCAGATCTCAAAGACATTCTTAGGTTGCTTCCAGTCCTGTACTACGTCTATCTTAGAGGAATCCACAGTCACTCCTTCCCCAGAGAAAACATGGCCTAGAAACTTAACATTCGTAAGCCAAAACTCACACTTTCCAGACATAGCATACAAACGGTGTGCTCTAAACAACTCAAGTACAACCCACAAGTGCTCCACGTGCTCCTCCTTGGAATGTGAGTAGACTAAAATGTCGACTAAGACAACCATAAACCAGTCTAGGAACTTATGGAAGAATAGATTCATCAAGTCCAGAAACGAAGCTGGTGCATTGGTTAGCCCAAAAGGCATTATTAAGAACTCATAATGGCCATATCGCATGCAAAATGCCATTTTCTAAATGCCCTCCTCCTTCACCCACAACTAGTGATACTCCGATCTCAAATCAATCTTCGAAAAGCAACAAGATCCCTTTAGTTAGTCGAACAAATCATCTATCATCGGCAATGGATATTTGTTCTTGATAGTTATTCGGTTCAACCTACGGTAGTCAATACACAACTGCAAAGTGCCATCTTTCTTTTTTCACAAAGTGAGATGGCATTCCTCAATGCGAGGTACTAGGGCATATAAAGCCCTTATCTAACAAATCTTGAAATTGCACCTTCAACTCATGAAACTCAGTTGGTGCAGGAGCTGTGCCTGACGCCAAGTCAATAGAGAACTCAATCTCGCTATGTGGTGGTAAGTTGGAAACATCCTTCGAAAAGACATCCGGATAGTCTCGAACCACTCTCGGTAAGTCACTTTGTGATGACCCTAACATGCATATCATTTTTTTGCATTTATATTTTAGACACCCCATTTTTGATGGCCCTTTCGACATGGACACCATTGCATGCACACCTGATGATGAGTTTATTTGCTCGCCAAGTGCTCGAAGTCCTCAGTGGGATGCCACAACTTTGAGCCTCTCAAGCCCTCTACATTTGTTATCCCAGTTTTGGCCAAGCCTAGCTTTTCCAGCTTGCAGCTGCTAGTGGCCTGCCGGCCACTTTTTGAGGCTGCCAGCCATCACTTTTGGGCTGCAAGCCACTGATGTGGCTTGCCGGTCACCAGTGATAGACGGTTGGGCACCACTGATGGTCAGCCGGCCACAAGTGTATTTTGTAGATATTTTATACCAGTTGTTTGCACAGATGCATGCATCTATCCCCATGTGTATGGCTGGATCTCCTTAAGGGAATTTCATGTTTTCTATATATAGAGACCCCCCTCTCTTGTAGCAAGGTTGAAAAATTTTAAACTAAAAAATTTTCCTATCTCTCTACAATTCTCTCTCTCTACAAATTCTCCACACTTTTGCCTATAATTCCTCAACCTTTGCCTATACACCCTTAACCAAATCTCACTATCTTTGAGTTGAGGTACTTTTGAGTTTGGTTTGAGCTTTAGATGGTGTTGTTTTCTTGGTTTTGTTGCTAAGAATTACTCTTCTCTTCAAAGGTATAAGACTTTGCTTTTAGCATTGTTTTATTTGCTTTTACTCCTACCGTTTTTCCATTATTTTGGGCTGTCAAAACTCTGTGTTTTTTGGGCTGAAGCTTGGGTTTAAGGCCATTAAAGGTTAAGGGGTTGATAGCCCTTCTTTGTACCCTGTTTTAGAGGCCTTTGCCCTTGTGTTTTCCATCCTTTTACTATTTTTTCCAAGCTTTTAAACACTGATTTTTAGAAGTTTTTCAGTGACCAAAATCATATTTTGAAGTCCAAAATTGGAGGGAATAACCTCCCCTCCTTGTGTCTTGCTTACTATCCTAGTTTGTGCCATGTTTTAGCATATTAATCTAGTTACTTCTAGCTCAATTCCAACATGTTTTAGGACTGCTTTCAACCTGTTTTACGATTATTTTGGGCTGTTGGTTGCATTTGAGCTTTATTTTGCATACTTATAGTGTAATAGTCCTCACAAGTTTGGTGTTCTAGGCCTTAGGCACCTTCTTGTTTGAGTTGATAGCATTTATTTATGCTCTTCCCTCTCATTTTCAGCACTTAATCATCTCTGCAACCTCCCTCCTTTCTTAGTTTTATTTTGCTTCGAAAGTGGTTCAAACAACTTACTTGTTTAAAGCATGAGATTGAGGTGTCATGCTTAATGGTTTAATCCTTTAGGGGGTTCATTACCAATGGTATGGTGCTTCTTTCATACCCAAAGCAACTTGTGTTTTGAGCCCTCTTTCCATTAGAGGACTTTAATTCACCTCTTGGACTTAATTGAATTAAAGAATGATTGATAAATGGAATGAGTAACTAAAACTTGGGACTGATGTGAGAAAGATAAGAATTTGGTGTGTTCAATCGGACATTAATTGAACACATGGAAGCTTCAACCATTTCATACTCATTACTGATGAAATAATTTAAGGTTCCAAGGCCTCTTCTTCCCTTGATCATTCATGAAAGGGAGAAGATTTGTGTCTTGTTTTGCATTCATTGAACTTGTACACTTGGTTTCACAAGCCATCATGTAATGAAATTGCATTAATTGATGGTTTGTGAACCAAAGCTTGCTACTCCTTTGATTTTTCCATGAAAAGGAGAGGCAGGTTGTACAACGTGCTCTGTTTGACGTCTGTTACAGTAGGATGAACATGTGTAGCACTGGCTGGCAGGCCACTTTCCATGGCCAGCAAACCACCATCCATGGCCGGCAACCATCATCTATGGGCGGCTGGTGGTCGGCAATCTTTACTAGTGGCTGGCCAACCACTGATGCAAAACTCAGCAGAGTGTTGGTAAGGCAGAGCAGAGTGGGCAAAAATATTGGTGTTCAACTGTGCAAACAGAGGCATTCAGAAGCAAAACGGTGGTCTTTTCGGGTGGAAACCGAGCATGCACATGCACATCCCTTGTTTCCCGAGGCATAGTAGTTAGTTGTTTAGTTTAATTACTTATCTTAGTTGCACTTGCATTGTAATTATTTAATGCATTAGTTAAATAGTTAATTCTAGTGTTGCGATAATTAGTTAAGTAGTTCAGCTAGTTATTCATTTCGGTTTGTAATAATTAGCTTAATTAGATTACCCCTTAATTAGTTAGTTAATTAGCTAGTTTATTCATTCGAACTCTCCTTCGTGAGAGCACAATGTAATAATGTGTATGTCTTCCAACCCCACGTCTTTCTCCCTTTTATTTACCAGCTTATGATGGTTAGATTAGGGGTATCACGTTTCAATTAGCATTCTTCATATTTGCATCTATTTGTATTGCATGCGTCGAGGCTCGGTTCATCATTCTAACTGCATTGTCGTTTAAATACTTCTTTGAATACGTGCTTAGACCGCATTCTATCAAAATAGACTCATATACCATTTAGTAGCCGAGCCTATTTTAGTTGCATTTTTGCATGTGTTGCATTAGAGATATTGCATGGTTAGGAATCATGCATTTTTTTTTCTAACTCTTTTGTTTATTTTGGCTTGGAGTACTTGGTAACCTTTTATATGCTTTAGCATAATTGCATGTGTGTGAATGTTGCCATGTCTAACATGCTTGCCATGAGGCTAAATGTTTAATTGATAAACTGCTTGTATGCCTATGGATGAAGGCTTATTGCTTGAATTGGAATAATTTGAGTAAATGTTTATATGCGATCACTTTTTCAAGTGGTACATATTTGAAACAATTTCAAAAACAAACATGACTCGAAGTGTTCCAATTCTTGCAAAGTTAGTCTATACTTGTGTGTGTGCGCATCACATTGTAATGCTAGCCGAATAAACCAGAACAAGAGCATATAATGTTGATAAAAATCATATCATGATTAGTAGAGGCCAATCTTTGATCGGGTGAGCGGGGGTGCTCAAATGTATTCATGACCTTCCCTTCTCGTACCTAAGTTCCCGAGCCTAGGTAACTTTGGTGATGACGGACACGTGGCCTTTGGCACGAGTCTTGGGTTTCCTAAATTTATCCAAAAATAAAAAATATTTAGGTGGCAACTTTGTATCTGGCAAAGCAGCCCAATTTTAGCATTTTTTATTCAAAATCGATTTTCCAAAAGATTTGCCGGATTTGGACTCTTTGGTGTTTATCAATTTCCCATTACATTTGTGAGATTAGATTCAGAATTGGGGGAGTCCAAACTGTAGGGCTTATTTCGAGTTTCCGAAAAGGCGGCGTGAAAAAGTCGAGCTACAGTTTTTGGCAACTCTGCTGGGGTTGACTTGAAATTCATGATATGCATTTTTTTCTACACTTGTATGCTTCTTTGCATTGCATTTGCATTTGCATTGCTGCACCTAAGTCATTGTGTTTTCCATCTGCTATTCCTGGGTTGTTTGCTGGAGGCTTGCTTGGAAAAGCTTGTCAAAAGGCTAACCAGTCGTGGGCTCTGCCATGATGGGAACACTACCCTTGGTTCTGGACTACCGTTGTACCATTTGATCCTCCTTTCACTTCTCAGTGTTAGATGTAAGAGGTATATTAGGTAGTCGTGCTGAGGTACCTTTTTTGATCATTTGGCCTAGTTGTATATCGATAGCCATAGAGACTGTTCCAAACTAGGACATGATGCTTACCCGAATGCAAGAAATGTGTGAAACCACTTTGTTTGATTAGTGAACCCTAGTTCCTGACGAAACTAGGACAAGGTATCCCTACCCCCTTATAGGGGCGTTTTGGCTCTCACTTAGCTGATATGTGCTTTTAGAGTGAAACTCTACAGGAACATGCGTATCAGTTACAAGTTTGGGTATCAGTTTTGGGGGCAAAATTCAGTATTGAGCGCAGTCCTATAGCTTTGATTACATCTGTGTTAATTAAAATCTGAGCTGAGCTACTGTGCAGTTTTCTGATTACTGCTTTCTTTTTTATTTCTTTCTTTTACTAGGTAGTATAACACAAGAGCTTCAGATAGTTCGGATATCCCCTGAGCACTCTAGACCCTTGTTAGAAGGCTTTACAGATCCGAAGATTTTGTTAGGGGACAGCCAGTGTTTACTTTGCTCTCACCGATTACTAGACGAAGAAGAGTTAGGCAGACTTTAGCAATCCAATTTCTACAACAGTCACCACTTATCTCACCTGCATCTAGTCAAGGACAGTCTTCTACAACTAGGTCAGCAAGAGATCACTCACCTATTCAGATGTCCCAATACCCTGCAGTC